TAATCTTTATCCAATAATATATGAGATATTTATAATCCAATAAAATATTATGACAAAAGGTCATTATACAACAATATTAATATAAAGTTAATTTGAATTATAATAAATATTAATTAACAAAATTATATTTATATAATAAATATCCATATAATTTATTTAAATTTTGAACTAATTATATAAAAAATAATCAAGTTTAAATATTTATAATTTTGTATAATAACTTCTTTAAAAATTTAATTAATATTTTGATTAAATATTTTTTTATAATTAATAAAACTTGAAAAATTATTATTAAAATTAAATAATTTGTTAATTTATTATATTATTTTGAAATAATAAGTTTAAGTTTTCTTATAAATTGTTTTTATTAATTTTAAATATATTTTCTTGTTTTAAATTAATTTTTTGTTGTAAAATTTAGTTAATACTATTATAAATAGTATTTTTCTTTAAATTTTAATCAGAAATAATTTTATAAAATTATATAATATATTTGATATAAACTAATTATTAATATAACTATCTCTTAAATTAACTTTTACTTAATATATTTATTATTTAAATTTATAAATTATTATAATATATTTAATATATTTTATTAAAATATTAAATATAATTTATTATATAATTCAATATTTAGTTTTTATTTAAATAATCAAATAATAAATATTTTATTAAATTATTAGTCAAACTAATTATTATAAGTTTATTTATTAATTAATAAATTAATTTATAAACTTGAACAAGAATTGAAAGAAAAAATTAAATAAATAAACAAGTTATTAATTAAAAAAATATTTAAGTTTTATATTAATTTTTATTGAAATTAAAAAAATAAAAGTATATGAAAGTTATAATAAAGTAAAAATTAAATCAAAAACAAATATATTTATTTTAATTCAATAATTTAAAATTTTAATAATAAAATTTTAATAAATTTAATATAACTCAAAGTTATTTATATATAGTGACAATTAAAAATAATGTAATAGTATCAAAATTTATTAATTAAATATAGTAAAATATGAATTTTTTTCTTTATATAAGTTTCAATTTTACTAATAAATATTTTTTATTTTAATATTAAAATAAAGATAATATTATATATTTTAACATATTTTTTTTAGATTTTTTAAATTTAATTTGAAAAAAATATATATTAAAATATATGAAATTATTTTTATTTTAATATAAAAAATAAAAAATATTTATTAGTAAAATTAAAACTTTTATATAAAAAGAAAAATTCATATTTTACTATGTTTAATTAATAAATTTTAACATTATTATATTATTTTTGATTGTCATTATATAAACTTTAAAGTACAGTAGCAATAAAAAAAAAATGGAATACTAAAACAAATTTATTAATAAAACATAGTAAAAATATGAAAAATACAAGTTTTTTCTTTATATAAAAGTTTTCAATTTTACTAATAAATATTTTTTATTTTTATATTAAAATGAAGATAATATCATATATTTTAACATATATTTTTTTCAGATTTTTAGATTTAATCTGATAAAGCTATTCTAATTGCATATAAAATCAATTATTTTTTAATAATAAAAATATATAAATAATAATTAATTTTATATGCAATTAGAACAGCTTTATCAGATTAAATTTAAAAAATATATATTAAAATATATGATATTATCTTTATTTAATATAAAAATAAAAAATATTTATTAATAAAATTGAAAACTTTTATATAAAGAAAAAAACTTGCATTTTTTATATTTTTACTATGTTTTATTAATAAATTTGTTTTAGTATTTCATTCTTTTTGATTATTACTATATATAATTAAAAATAAAAAATAAAATATTATTTAATAAAAAATTTTTGTTTTATTATAATATTAGTTTAATTTATAATATATCAAATTAAAAATCAATTATTTTTATTTATATTTTTTATAATATAAATTTTAATATAACAACTATTTAAAAAATAAAATAAATAATTAAAATAAATAAAAAGTAAAAAATAAAATAAAAAGATAAAATATTAGAATAAAAAAAAATAATTCAAGTAATCTATATTCAACAATTTGTTTTAATTTTTTAAAATTTAACTAATAACTTTTTAGAACTTATTATAAAGAACAAAGTTATTAATTAAGTTTTAAAAATTTTGTTTCTATATTAAATTAAAAGATTTTAAGAATTGAAACAAATTATTGAGTATAGATTACTTGAATTATATCAAGATAAAAAAGATAAAAAGATAAAAATAATAAAATAATAAGATAAAAAGATAAAAAAATAAAATATCAAAATAAATATCAAAATAAAAAAGTAAAATATTAAATAAAAAGATAAATAAAATAAAAATATTTATCAGATTATTTTTGTTATTATATTTTTTTAAATTATTTTTAAATAATTTTTGTTTTTTAATTTTTATAATATTTTAATTATTTTATTATTATAATCTTACAAAACCAGCTATATTTTTATTATATATTTTTATATTAATAAGAGTAATATTGATAATGATAATAATAATAATTAATAATTACTATTAATATTATTATTATTATTATTATTATTCCAGTTCTTTGAACAATATTTATATAACAGAAACTCTTTAAAATGAATTTACTCTTACATTTATAAGAGTAAATATAAAACAAGTTAAGTTTATAATTAAGAAAAATATGTATGATAAAATTATAGATTTGGGTTCCATAGTTGATCTACTTGATTTCTAATCACCGTTAGACGCCACCTATTAGCCACATTAATCAATCTAAATATGATCAAGAAATATATCACCTTAAAAACATCTGATTGCAAGTTTTCACAGTGAAAAACAGCGTGAAGATTCAGTTACTCATTCGAATACATAAAACACGTGGAGCAATATGTATCTATTCCAGTTCTTGAAGATAATAAATGATCAAGACATTTACTAAAAAAATGATAATTTAATAATTAAAAAAAAAAGAAAACGATGAAAGAATCAATAAATAATAAGAATAAAAATACATTCTATCATTATTATTATTTTTATTACTATCATTACTACTACTACTATCATCATGGAAGAAGTTTCTATTAGATAAATAATTGTAATAAGAATAACGTGAATCGAAAAAATGATTTATATGGGTATTAATTATACAATAAATAAAAAACCTAAAATTGATGAATAGAATAAATATCGGATTCAATTAAATAATCCGATGATGAATAAAGGGTAATTGTCGGGTATAATGGTTGTGGTAATCTACTAACTTCATGAAATATTATTGAAGCAAGTACTAAAAAAGAGGCGACATCCCTACTATGTAGTTGCGTGTGTTGGTGTGTGGTGTTTCACATAATGGAGGAAAGGGAGAATTCTGTACACGTCTTTTTATCGTATTGAAAAAATTTACGCGAAAACTGTGATGATGATGATGACAATGCCGTGTATGTATGTGTGGAGGGGAAAAAAGTCATTGATATATAAAATTCGGTGATTTAAATTATGACATGCATCGCATTTCCAAAAAGTTGAGTTTTTTTTATTATCACTATGACGGTAATATTCGTATTTGTTATTGTTTAGCCGAAAAATGCCCGAAGTATTAAATACCATACACAACCAAATGCTCTAACTGCTGAAAGACCGGTAACAGACCAAAATACTATTTTTTTTATAAAAAAAATTATTAGTAAAATATAAATGTTGAATTATCATTACCAAACAATAACTCGAATTAAAAAATAAAACATACCAAACGTAAGGTACGGATTATACGCTGTACTATGATACTTCGCGGCGACATAATTATTCCAAACCTTGGACGTAAAGAACACAATAAGCAACGCATTCGAAAACATCCAAACGAGGACCAAATTAGTTCTAAACATTCGATAATAATCGTCTTTCTTGGTAGCAGCGTCGCGATGTTGTTTCTCCTCGTGGACTTTAACTTTTAAGTCACGCAACATTTGCTCGTATGCCGCATTAACATCTTCCCGCTCAAAAGTTTCTACCTGGACCATGCTTTTTCCGTCTTTGGTAACAGTGTGTGCGCCACCAAGGTCTCCGGAATTGCCATTATCACCTTTGGTGCCCCAGGAGACGTCATGAGTGTTACAGAATGCGTAGACCATCAAGATGTTTACATAGAACGGTACGAGGAAGACGTATTGGATGAGCGAGGTGAACATGTGCCATGGTTCGCCGTGGATAAGCGATGAGAAGAAGTAGAGGCCGTAGGTGGATGCTAGGGAGATTACGATGTCGCGGAAGGGTGCTTGTTTGAGGTAGGCTTGAATGTTTTTGTATTCGTTGACTTTATGTGGTACACTTAAGTACACGGTGTAGAAAGCGCAGTAAAGCATGATTCCCATAATGAAGGCAAATAATATTATGCATAATGTGTAGATGAACTTTGAGCCTTGTGGACGATTACCCAATGAACAGATGAAAATAGCCACGATAACCATCATGTATAATCCACGAACTGCTTGGAATAATTCGTCACCGTATCCTTTAAATGGATCGGTTTCGACCTTTGCGGTGGTAGAAGAAGTCAAAAAGTAAAAGGTCAAATAGAAGTTGCCCTATTGGAAATTAAAAAAATAATTATTAATTTTTATTGACTAAATAGATAACAATTGAATAGGAATATATAAAGATTCTCACAAGAGTAAACCAATTAAAGAATAAATTTATTGCATTATAAATGAATTCAATCTGCAACAATATTTTACGGAAGAATGGTTGTCCCGAAGTCCAGATACGGCCAAAATGTGCGACTGAATAGAAGGCAGCAAAGAATGACCCGTTTAACCAACGACGACGCTGTGAAATGAATTCAGCAACAGTGTCTGGTACATCGGTTTCAGCTTTGGCAGACTAGATATATAATTATTATTGTTAGTATATCTTTAAACTAATAAATTTCAATGTTATTTAAAAAATTACCTTCACATATTTCAATTTCCATCCTTTTTTTTTCTTTGCCACGAGTTCAAAACATAAAATACGATCCTCAGCTAAATACATATTCGCTTCAAAAATACCAGCATCACCACTTCCGTGCATCGTCTCGCCCTTAAAGTATGAAGCTAACGGGCCTTTATCATGTGATACGTTCTGCAAAGCCTCGTATCTATACGCAGAAAAGGCACCTGGCAACACGGATATATAGCCAAACACGGATTCCAGAGGTTTATCGAGAATATTTGACATTTTGTATTCGAAATTTTGTGAGGCGACTAGTGGATTGAGAACATTCAAACAACCACGACCTAGTTCAGCACAGATTTCACCACATGCACCTCCAACATCCGGATCACGATCGAAGGCTAGAATAGGGAAAATTGTTTAATTTTTGATGGTATATTTGGTGTATTAATTATAATAGCAAAACTAACCTTTCCATAGATGATAGATTGAAGTATGCGATGGCTTTGTTCCTACATCCAGTAAGACGCACACTCTTGGCTGCAATTGAGCAGCAAACGCATTGAAAAACCAACGATGGGAATTCAACTTTTTCGCATTCTTTTCCTTTAAACAGAAAAGGATCTGCACCGGTGGAATGTGCTTATCAGCTCCACGAACATCCATATTACTATCCACCATCAACTGGGACGTATATTCAAACACATGTCCAGTGACCGGTTTTCCATTCACATTATCCTTCATCACTCCATCCTGATACGCGCCCATAGCACCCAAAACTTTTAGCACCCGTTTATCAATCTTATTGCGACCATCAGACACCACACACACTACCACCTTTTTCCAACCCTCACGACCCCAAGTTTTTGATCGGTCACGTGTGCAAAGATGTGCCACGTTTTTTATGGCAGAGCTCATCGTCTTTACAAATAACTGGTCGTCTTCGTTGTACATGGTCATTACGATCATGAGCTCTGTTTCGCGACCATATTGAGCTTGGCGGAGTGTGTAACGTTCTTGTTGAAAGTAGTCAGGGTCACATGTGACTGCTGTGTATCGCATTTTTGTGAATTCGTCACCTGAAGTGTGTTGAACATTACGAAGAATTCTGTCAGGTACTGGACAATCGAGTACTAAATTTCCTTCTGTTAACTCCACATGACGAACAGACTATAAATTATTAATTTTTATTAGTTATATATATTTATTTATATATCTATATTTATTATCTTGTTTTATGATTATATTGCTCACCTTCCTTCGATTAGCCTTCTCATCAAAATTCGATCCTAACGATTGCTGTTGATAATTCAAGTTCGGTTCATACTGATTCTGCCGTTGCAAACGTTGATCAATAGCTTGTGGATGATGCGTGGGCGATGGTGATGGGTTAGGGTAGAATGGTGGTTGTTGTTGTGGACGATATCCATTTGGTGATTGTTGTCCCGGGTATAAAGGTGGTGGTTGCGGTGAAGGTGGTTGATAGTATTGTTGCTGTTGTTGCTGGTGGTGGTGGTGTTGTTGGTGTTGTGTTGGTGGTGGTTGATTGGGATGAACGGGTGATGATTGTGAATAATAGTCGTAAAATTGATCGTCGTTGTATGACATTATTAATTATTTCTTAAATTGTATTTTATTTTTTTCTTTAGATACAAGCACCGTTTTTATTCTATCTACAATTTGATATGCGGGGTATATTTTATATTATGTGACAAATCTCACCACATTTACTCAAGTGTATGGAATAAAATGGTAATAATGTTCGAGGCACACAAATACATAAATATACACAGAGCAATAAATAAAAGAAGAAGGATTCACTGCCAGAGAGATTCCTTGTCTTTTAATACTTATATGTACTAAATAATTCAAACGTTAGAACTTGGAATCTGGTATCCAAAATTGTTTTTTATTCTCTCTCGAAGGAAGAAAATATTGTAATAGTGTACAGAAAGTATGTATAAGTTGGAGATTGGACTTCCGGGTAGTAAATGGTGAAAATGGAAGATTCTTTGAAATCTAGAAAAAGAAGCGTAATATATATATATATATATATCTATATATATATATGCGTTTCTTTTTTTCGAATTTTCAGAATTTTTTCTAACTGTATAGTAAGGATGAGATGTCGAAAAGAGGGAAGTGTAAAAGAGGGAAGGTAATAGGAATCTTTGACGAAATGAAGGAAAAGAAGGAAATAAACTATTAAAATAATAAAAGAGCGACAATAATCTTCTTTTGGATGATGTTGTTTCAAACACTTACACAAATGTCTACAACCGCGAAATATAACTGTCCATCCACCCATCCCATTCACGCGTCGTACAATTCGTGAATTTTTATTAACTTATCCGTATATATTAGTAATGAATACGCGTCGGCCATTTTATCGTTACATATGCATGTACGATAATAAATATATACTGTATATCACCAATCAAAAACAGGTTTAGATTAATATTTATATTTATATTTTTATTTGTTAATTCTATATTTGATTATATCACGAGTTGAGAGATTCTCTATTTGTTTGTTACAAAGTTCACTAAATTTGGAATACCCTTATGTCAAGCAAAAACGGCCTCCGAACTACCTCCGATCCGGAAATACTATATTTTAACACTATAAGATTGGGGTTAGGGTTAAGGTTAGAGTGGAGGACAAGGTTACAAATAAAATTACCTCACCGACATTTTTATTTAGTATATCAAGCTAGATTTGAGCTGTGTTTTTCACAATTTTCATTTCTTGTTTTGCCGGGCTGATCAAAAATTAGTGCACTTCTATTGGTTGACGATCAGAGAGTGCAGATCTTCAAATACCGGAATGCCCCGTTTTTTGCTTGACATAAGGGTCCCCAGTCCAGCTCACCCACGATCGATTTTCTCTTCACGTGATTTATGACATAGTAGCCTGGTGATGGCGAAAAAGAACGGGAGGTCTACGGACAGTGCTGAATCATGTGGCCTTTTACACAAGAAAATAAAAAACAATTTTACATATATATAGCCTTATTCTCAGCTCTAATCCTAATCCTAATCCAAACAATAAAATAACCTTCAACATCAATTTTCCGTGATCACATGAACGTGAAATTTTGAAGACCACGTGATTCCGATTCCAATGCCGACCATTCGATATTCCCTTAAAATCATGCAACTATCAATCTATGTTTAATGCTTACTTTTGAAAAATAGCTTGTATCTTTATGAAATAATCATTTACGTATGTTCTAACAAAAAGTGTTCCTTGCAACATCTTAATAAAACATAATAAAATATGAGTTTTTCTCTTTATATAAAAGTTTTAAATTTTACTAATTATTTTTATACAAAAATATAAACAACAATCCATATTTTAACATATATTTTTTATATTTAATCTGAGTAAGTTTTTCTAATTGCAAAGTAAGTCGATTAATTTTTTATAATTAAAATATATAAAATTAAGCAACTTACTTTGCAATTAGAAAAACTTACTCAGATTAAATATAAAAAATATATGTTAAAATATGGATTGTTGTTTATATTTTTGTATAAAAATAATTAGTAAATTTAAAATTTTTATATAAAGAGAAAAACTTATATTTTATTATATTTTATTATAAAAATATAATTGGTTTTATTAAAAAAATCAGATTAAAATTAAAATTTTTTCAAATAAAAATAATTTACATGGTATTTACAGTAAATATAAAAAATAAAATTATTATTTATAATAACAAAATATTATTATTATTTATTTACAATATATAATTAATTATTAATTATTAATTTTTACTTATTTTATTTATTGTAAAATTATATAATTTTACTATTAGTATATTTTTTAAAATATAAAATCTGGTACAGTCTTTAATAATTCAAATTCTATTTGTAATTAAATTTATCAAGTTATAATAATATAAAATTTTAATAGCAATGATCTCTCTAATCATCTCTTATATAGTTACATTATATAAAAATCTCTTTATAAGTATATTTTTTATAAATTAACACTTATTAATACTATATAAAAAAATCTCTTTATAATCACAGAATTTTTACAGTCATATTTCTTTAGAATTAATACTTAATAATATTATATAAAAAAACTTCTATATAGTTACAATCTCTTTATAATTCTTTATTTATTTATTTATTTTTATTAATAATATAACTATATAGATATCAGATAGTATAAGTTGAATTTTATTATTAAATTCATATTGAATAATTATATTCTTTATTTTATTAAATAATATTTTATTAAATAATTTTATTATTAGATTCTATTAAATAATTAATTATTCAAATGATTATTCAAATAATTATTTCAATATACATTCAAATAATTATTTAAATAATTATTCTAATAATTATTTCAATAATCATTCTAACAATTATTTTATTTTAAAACTTAATTAATAATTTGATATTTATTTATTAATCATTTATAAAAGAAGCATGTATTTTAGCTTAGAATTAATTAATTAAATTCTCTATTCATTCAAAAGCTTTTTGATAAAATTAATAAACAAATATATTATTAATTTAATTTTTTTTATTATTTCACCTTAAATTTTATTTAGTTTTGTTTAAATTATATTTAATTTGTTAATAATTACTTATAATTTCTTGTTTTAATATTTTACTTGTTTATAAATTATTTAAGTTATTGAAAAGAAGATTTTGAAGCTCATTTCATGACTGCAAAATGTTATTGCAAGTTCTTCAATCATTATATATATGTTAACTTGTTATTATATTTTTTACAAGCAGCTCCATAATAATACTAACATTGACATCCAAAATTTAAAGAAGTTAGTTTATTGAACATTTAGAGAAGAGTTTAAAGCCTATTCTTTGAATAGACATTATGATATTTGTTTTTTTGTTAAATAATTTTTAATTTTATTATTTTTGAATATATTTAATACACATTAAACTTGAGAAAAATGAAATAGTTGGCGCGTATAAATAAGAAAAAAAGTAAGCATGCAATTAATCCAATCGCGATGATATTTTTCTCCCTTCCCTCCCTTTCTCCGTTATTTTTTATACTTTACCTTAATATGTATACAAATATATGATAATACACAGATGAAAATAATATTATATGCACGGAAACTTTTTATTAATTAATAATAAAAATAAAGAACTTTAACGTTAACGATTACAGGTATATTCTAATTTATTGTCACTAATCACTTGTAAAAATAACACATTCACCGAAAGGACTTTATTTTGCTCGGCAAATTCATGGAAACCATTTTTTTGGCATGGTAACAGACATTTTAAATTGTTTGGCAAAAGGAAAGAAAGAATAGATAATAGAGATTCCCAATCTTTTTTAAATCAAAATTATTTTTTGGCACCTTGTAAATAAAGTTCTTTTTGTGTCAACGTGGCATTAATTGACCGATATGAAACGATAATGTCAATTCCACGTGCACACAGCTTTTTGGGTCACAAAATAATCCGAATTTGATACATGCCGATACAAAATTTTTACCTTCATATGAAATGTCAACGACGACAACGACAACAACGAAGGCTTCACCAATTCAATTTGCCTGTAAGTTTTTTTATATTATACGAGCGATAGAATGTCGTTAAACGCGCCATTTACTGATGAGGAAATGCACTAACGTGGAATTGAAATGGTCTTTGTGGTTAAAAGACCGGTCAGTTAGTGGTGTAGAACTGTCGAACGGTCACCCAGATTACAAGAGTATAAAAAAATTTTCAGAGTAAGATGCTAAATTTGTTTGTTTCGCGTTTTCTGACACTGGTACCCTGAAATATCTTTATTTAATGAGAACACTTTTCGTTTTGTTAGAAGAAGCGATATCAAGACGTTTCAGTATAATAAGGATGGCCGATATTTTGGTTGGGCATCGTCAGAAATGTAATTATTTTAATGAGATACTCGGTACTTTTTTTCAGGAGATGATCCTGATTAAGTAGTTTTTTGATTGATTCGCTATAATCATTTAAATGAATTAATGTAATTAAAAGGGTCGTCGTAATCGATGCAGAAACAACCAAAATAGTAAAAGAGATTCCACGAAGAAATGTAGTCGAGATTGGGTTTTCGCCAAAGGGCACGTATATATCTACTTGGGAACGGCCTGGTACGTGTATATATAATGATCCTTGTAGACTGATAAATAATAAAAATAAAGTTCATTTTTTTTAAATATTGATTTTTGGAGATTTTTTATTACGATATATTTATTATATATAATTTGTTATTAATGAATCGAATCACTTTATATTTTTGTAAATACAAAATAAGTTAAACTTGAAGAGAACGTCGTTCACAAAAATCTTATTTTGTGGGAAGTCGAGTCTGGTGAGGAGCTCATGTCTTTTACTCAGAAAAGTCAGAATAATTGGTAAATAAAATATTTTTATTCATACATATGCGGCTTTATCTATTTTTACTATAATTATCACTTATTATTGTCGTTCTCCACTCTGGTCTGATTTTCCAGGAACGTTCAATGGACAGAAGACGAGGCATTTTTCTGTCGCATGGTCACAAACGAAGTACAATTTTTTGATAGCAAACGAGTGGATAAAGGTGTGCACTCGAGACTACGTTTAGAGGGAATCGGTGATTTTTCATTGTCACCCGGTAAGAGTCCGTCAATAGCCGTGTTTATTCCTGAGAAAAAGGTATTTTTATTTTAACAATTGTACTTAAAAAAGCATTACATAAAAAAATAAATGTAATTAGTAATTTATCGATATTAATATAAAAATAAAGGGTGCACCCGCCAGAGTCCAAATGTTCTCAATAACAAATTTCAATGGTGCCCTTGCGCAAAAGACGTTCTTCAAAGCAGATAAAATCCAGATGAAGTGGAATGACCTCGGGACTAATTTGTTAGTGTTGACGCATACCGATGTGGATAAGACGAATAAGTCTTATTATGGAGGTATGGAAATAATGTAAAAGAAATTAGTTATTATTGATTTTTGTTGGGAGATGGATGGTACTTTAATTTTACTATTTATTTATTAGAGACAAATTTATATTTTCTGGCGTCGGCTGGTAACTACGATTGCCGTGTGCAACTCGGTTGGTATTTTTTTATGATTCTTCAAAATCTCATTATTATTATTGACTTTCTCAACTATTATTACTAAAAATACAGATAAAGAAGGCCCAATTCACGATGTCGCGTGGAGTCCCAACTCCAAAGAGTTTATAGTCGTTTATGGGTGTATGTTATTATTTGAATATTTTACTCCCTTCATTGTTAAGAGGGTAATTAACTGAAATCAACTCATTTATCAGATATGCCCGCAAAAGCGACACTATTCGATCATCGTGCAAACACAGCTTACGAGTTTGGCATAAACCCAAGAAACACCGTACAATTCAATCCTCAAGGACGCCATATCCTTTCTATTTATTTTTTTCTCAAAATAAATAAATACTAGTAAATCGTATTAAATATCATCCAATTAAAACATATTTATCATATCATTCCCAATTTATCCTTAACCACTTTAACCTACTTACTTGCACCCTCCACTCATCTTCATTGCTGGTTTCGGAAATCTCGCTGGCACAATGGACATCTGGGATCGGAAAACGCTGAAAAAACTCGTCACGATCGAGGCGCCAAATTCATCAGAATGTGCGTGGTCGCCTGATGGTCGGTTCATTATGACGGCGACGCTTAGTCCGCGATTACGTGTCGATAACGGGTATAAGATATGGCATTACATGGGGGTTTTGGTGCATGCTAGGAATGTTAATGAGCTGTTGCAGGTTTGTAATATTGTATTTTGGAAGCTCATCGTAGCTAGGTGACTTAAATAACTATAACTTACTCATGTGTGTGTATGTACTATATTGTGGGCCAAGAAATTAATAATTTGATGTCTGTTAGCGGGTTTACTATAAACCTATAGATGCATTATTTAAAAATAGTAAATTGTATTATGTATGTAATCTTTATGAATACAGGTTGGATGGCGCTCTGCCAATGTCGAATTATATCCCATGCGATCCTCATTATCTCCTCCTCCTCCCGTCGCGAAAAACATACAAGAGCTTGCTGTCAAGTCAACTCGTAAGCTTTATGTTTTCATTTTTTTCTTATGGTAACAATTCGCGTAATTAATCAAACGATGTTTACTGATTATATCTTTCAGCAAAAGGAGCTTATAGGCCTCCACATGCACGCGGTCAAGCGACACCTGACCATTTCAAGGTTTTTATTTTCTATCAGTGCATATCTTTTAGTTCTTCTGTTGCTGTCACTAACTTAATGAGCTAATTTAAATTTAGCGTGAAGACGAAACGTCGTTAAAATCACCGATTCACCAAAATGGGTTAACGGGTGTTACTACTAATGCAGAATGTAAATAGTTTCTGTGAATGATAAATATAGTTTTTATTGGAGGTTTGACATGTTAACGATATCATTGATAAACAATATTATTATAGTACTATCAAAAGCGGCTGTTAAAAATAAAAAGAGAGCTGCCAAAAAGAAGAAAGAGGAAAATGGTAGTAGCAGTGTGAGTGGTGGTGCTTCTACTGCTAAGCCATTAGGTAATATTCTCTTTTTATTCATTCATTCACCCTGTCATTCACTGATATGTACTATATATCTTGTATACTTACTAGTTGACCGAATAATATCCAATGCGCCAATATCAACGGATATTAGCAACGGAATATCAACAAAATCATCATCATCATCATTATCATCATCATCAGCTTTTGTCGACTCCACGACAGAAATAATAATTACAAATAATCATAGTAATAATCTGCCATCGTTACAAACAGGCACTAACACTACATTAAGTGAGACGGAAAAGAAGATCCGTAATTTGACGAAAAAACTACGGCAGATCGCCGAACTTAAAGAACGGCAAACGAATGGCGAAAAATTGGAGCAGACGCAGGTTGGTTTTTCGTTAATTGGTTAATGTGAACGTCGTATTATTGATGATATCCAATGTATATTTTTTTACGTTAGATTCAAAAAATTGCGACTGAAGCTACGTTATTAAAAGAACTGCGGCAATTAAACGTAAACAAGTAGTAAGGATCATCATAATATTTAATTTGGAACAATTTGTGCGATAATCCGTTGAACGATCAATCACCTATTTTTGACACTGGGTCTAGGTAATCAGTAATTAATAATTATTATCTTAATTCTTTTTATTATACAAAAAGAAACTTTCTTGATGATTAGTAGTATATTTCATAATAATCATCAAAATATACAAATAATAATTAGAAATGCTCTTAACGTACATGTAAGAGTGTAAGAGTAGAAAACCGTGGCCTGCTACGATAACTAATAGCGGTTTCAAAGCCACAATAAAATCAATTATTTGCATATGTACCCCTTTCTTAATCGAAAATGTGACAGGATACGCCGATTCCGGCAAAATTCGGAAATTAACTTTAAAGTTAGAATCAGTGTTAGGGTTAGAGCGGGGGACAAGGTTATATGTGAAATTGTCTTCCTGACATTTATTAGGACCCAAGGCATTTATTTCCTTTTCTGCCGGATTTGGTTTGCTGGTCTGATAAAAATCTTTGCTTTCTGATTGGTTGCTGATCAAAAATTTGCGCATTCTTATTGGACATCGGCGTAAACTGGCACGTGCGTAATGGATAACACCGTAGAGCATGTGGCAAATTTTTGATCAGCCCAGAAAAAAGAAAATAAAAAATGCAAAAATACGGGAAATAGATGCCTAAGTCTAACTTGGAACATTAATAAAAAATGTCGGGGAGGCAATTTTATAAATAATCCGACTCTGCCCATAATCCTAAGATCAACCCTTAACGTTAACATTTATTTTCCGAGTACTCACGTGCCGTGGCCTATCTTGACACGTGCAAAATTAATTGACTGGTATATGGTGCATAACCGTAAAAATGATAACTTTTTGTTTGCATAATTTTTATTAATAAATGCTCATAATTCGGAATGATCAACACTATAATTTTGTTGATCTTTTATAATCTTAACCAAAATTAAGAAATTCTTAACCAAAAATTAATGAAAGATTGTTGATCTAGCCTTCGGCCAATCGGATACTAGATTTCTGATGACGTAATATGCTTTGAAAATTTGGAATATTCAGTCGCGTGTTAAATAACAGACTGAACGCGTTTTAAGAAATGATCGGTAAATTAAAAAAATAACAAATGGGAATAAAATCTTGAATCTTTTTTGTTTAACATTTGTAGCAACAACAAAAAGATGTACAAATTCACCCCAACATCCATTTTCAGTATATTCAACTTTAATGTGGTGCCTAGCACGCTTCCCAAGCCTCGCCCACCTTCAAACGACAACAAGCCATTTTTACAAAATCAGCAACAAGATTTGCCACCTGCCGTTCCTTCAGATGACCCGTTCTACATTTTTGACGCACCGCGTTGGCACGACTTTTCTGTAAATGACTCGAATGATAACGCGGACGCTTGGTTCGGTAGGTTTTTATACTGAGAAGGAATTTTACCATTGTTTTCTTTCCACTAAACGTTTTATAGACACACACCAGGACACTCCAGTAAAGAACACCGTTGCCGGATCTTTCCCACACGAAATTGTAGAAGAAACACCATGCAAAAGAAAACGTGCAATTGTAGAAGAATCATCCGAAACACCATGCAAAAGAAAACGTGCAATTGTAGAAGAATCATCCGAAACACCATGCAAAAGAAAACGGGAAATTGAAGAAGAATCACCTGAAACACCAAGTAAAAGAAAACAGGGGATTGTAAAAGAATCATCTGAAACACCAAGCAAAAGAAAATGCGAAATTGCAGAAGAACTCAACGAATCGGAGACATCAATCTACAACGAGATACTCAACCCACACAGAGTACCTATCCGATTCGCGCTTCATTCGCCAACAAAGGTTATTATGTTATTGGTTCCTGGCGCTGGAATTATGCCGAAACCTGTGGAACGTAACCCAAAGAAGAAACGCAAAGTATCACGTGCCTCCAGAAAATAAATCACGACGGATGATTGGAGACCACGAGTTGAGCAATAACGACTCGTTTTTTACTGCACACGTTTTGTGCGGTTAGGCTGTACACGACTTTGTACGGTAGTTGATATGGGCTATTATTTTTTAATAACGCCAAACAAACATCTGATTTGGACGTTTGTGAGAAGCCAAGACATGTTAAAACTATATCTGTGGAATGGGGGATCTCAATCGCGCATATTAAATATATTTTTCGTTTGATCTAGCAGTAGATTTTGTTTTCTATCAGCGAAATCGATAATTTAGAGGTTTGTTTCAATAATTACCGTAACAATAATTTTTCCATTCTGTGTCTGTCTAAGCTAACTATTTTCTTGTATATGTCGACATTGAATAATTTTGCAGTGATGCATTTGAAAATTCAAGGTATGGTATAAAGATTTTGAATATATTTTAGTCCTTCTAATTTGACTTAAGTTTTGTAACCAATTTCAGGTTAACGCGAAAAGCAAAATCTGTATGGAGGTCGACGCGGGAAAGAGCTTGTCAATAAAATTTATCTGACACGCAATAAATCGATTGTAATACGACATCAAAAATCATTTCTAATGAATTTTCAACGAATGCAGTTTATGGACATTGCGAGCAAGTTTTGCCAACATATTATCTTCGAGCCACTCAAAAGTCATGGTGTCGATCATTTAAATGAACATTTTTCCGTTTTAATGGATTAATTCAGCAATTTTGTGGGTTAAGGATAAGTACTACCTTTTATGTCTGCTTTTGGTCCGATGCTATATAGAAACAATATTTACTGGAAATTCACAGGCATATTCACAACAATTTACGTATATTTTGTCAGTTTCGTCAACAATTATAATAGTTTTACAAAAGACAGGCTTGACAATCTTAATAATTATAGCAGAGAAAAGAGAAATGTCGTTTGCAATGTAAAATTGTTTAGTCAATAATAATATCATTGTTCACTTGAATATAATAAAGAAGGGAAAAAACCAATGCGCTATCAAGACATAATTAAACATCTAGTTGGGAGAAAGAGAGAATGTGAATAATATAATCCATTTGTTGAACAGTCAATTCATCAGATGATCCAAGAAAAAGCAAAATATAATTCAGGTTTAATTTATTAAAGCAATAATGGGTATGGGTATGAAAAAGAAACAAGAACTGAAACTTAGTTTTTATTATACTCGAAACGTTATCAAACAGTTTAGACAACCAGCCTAATATCTACTCTTCTATGGATAAGGGAGTTCCACAAATCAGGTGATGGTTGTTGGGGGAGGGGAGTGGGTGAACCTTACCGGTCATGTCTAATCTTTTATTAATTATTATTGGTTCAAATAAATCACAAGGAGTGAGGGGAAGCTCTACTAAATGAAACCAGGTGATTTGTGGCATTCCAACACTCGATTTACCCCCAAGTTCTGATTGGTTCAGCTAATAAACCTTAACGTTAAATGTTGGTTTTAAGGGTTCGGGTGAGAGAAATAAGAAAATAAACTTGTCTGTCATTACTGCTTTTGTCAAAAGAAGTCAGGCAATTCACTTGCATTTACGGGGAACCTTATTACCTGTGTCGATACGATTATATGTAGAATTGCCTCCCCAACATTCTTTATAAGTGCTTCAGGCATTCGTTTCCCGTGTTTTTGCATTTTTAATTTTCTTGTGTCGGATTTGTTTTAATGGGTTAATCAAAATTTGTGGACAATCAACCAATCAACAATTTGCATCCAAAAACTCTTCTGACAGAAGATTTGCATTAATTAAAAGAGCTATCCAGCAATCATTGCATGTTACTTTCAATGATTCTTTTTGGATTCATATGCAAAGATAAGCCAGGGCTTGTTTTATTAACTTTATATTTCTATTTAGTTAAAATTAATCATTTAATTTATTGCAATGTAGTGTTTACAGGTTTCGATATCAGTGTAAATTTCGAAGAGTTCCGATTTTTTTTGAAAGTTATCGAGAATTAAATCAATAATTATCAAAAATTCAATTCTTTGATACCAATGTATTTTTCAATAACATTCAAAGAACATTTATGACATTTGAGAACTACTTCTGAAAGATTACAACTGATGTTATCATACGATTCACCATCCCGATCAGCAGAATGCTGTGCAGTATAACGATAATACGGCAATTAGATCAACAAATAAAGAACCAATGATAACGATAACGATACATAAATTGGGTAGTACCCCAGAAAAAAGGGTCGGATCACGTGCTGAGGTGCAAAACCAATAAAAATGCGTAAATTTTTGATCAGCCCGGCAAAAAAAATCCGACGCAAGAAAAAAAAAGCAAAAAATACGGGAAACAGATGCCTAAATCCAGCTTGGTACACTAAAAAAAAGAGTCGGGAAGACAATTTTACATATAATCTTGACTCCAGCTCTAACCCTCACCTTAACACTAACCTTTAAATTAACCTTAACAATAATCTCTATTACCGTAGAATTTTTCCGGACATACACAAATATCACATGATCCGACCCTATTTTTTGCCACTATAAATTGGGTACGTATTTATGCGTAGTTATGTTTGAGATTTTGACCATTTTGTGAGTAAGTCATATCGATATGCTTAAACTTGATGCGTGTCTTAAATTAGAATGGCAGAAAATAAAAAAACTTGATAAGAAGAGACGGCAAAAAAGCATTCCTACAAAAAACAACAGATCCACTCAAATGTAATTTTACTATAAAATTAATTTCAATTCCAAATGATACAGGCAGGTACTTTCTATTTCGAAATATAAATCATATTGGTAATTCATATTAATTTTTTACAAGTATCCGTTTGTTTGTTTAAAAGTTACTACAGTATTTTAATCTCACTATTTTTTATTAAGTTCATTAATTCGGAAGTATTTTTTATTAAGTTCTTTAATTCATTATTTTTCCAGAAAATACTATACGTATTAGCAAATCAAGGAGTGTTTATATTTGGTATTACTTTATTAAATATATAAGTTGTATAACTTAAAATATTTGTTTGCACATAGCTTTAACGTATGTGACTACTGAATTTGATATTGACATTGATGCCGAATCTATCAGTATCAGTTTATATGTTCAAAACGAAACAAATGAAAGGAAAACTCTATCAGCTATGCCACAACTATGATTATTGTTTGATTATAATTTTCGCCTATATTTTTTATAAAGTCAGCATATGTCAAAGACACCGAAAGTTCGAAAAATTAATCAAACACGATGTCGTTAAATATCGCATGCTATTTCCATTTTTTCTAAAGAACATAAAATGAACAGTAAACGTCCTATTTAAAACACGTCCAAAGAACCAAATAAACGGGGAAAGATATTATCAATCGAGACGAAAAGAATAGTCAAAGTAAAAATTGAGCAATATTATAAAAGGATTATTCCTATTAAAATATTTTTATGTCATGTTTCAAGCATGTTGTAATTTTTGTTTTATAAATGTGACTAGTGGATTTGATATAGATAATGATGCCAAATATTCAAATATCAGTTTCTATGTTTCCAATGAAGTAAAATCACTATCATTATATTTTCTTTGGTGTTGCTAAACAGTTTTCGATTCTACTATATCAAAGAGAATGAAGAGATATCGAATGTCTTACAAGAAAAACAATTTTATGATGAAGCACTTCCAACAAACACGTAGAACTTTATTAAATTAGAATAATAATAATTGTTGGTAGCTGATTTTCTTCAGGAAATGTAATGAAATGTACGTACTGGTTAATAAATTAAAATTAAAATTAAAAAAAATTACTAATTTTCATCAGGAATAGGTTAGAAAATGTAACAAGAAATATAATGAAATATAATTTTCATGTACATGTATCATGACCTTGAAGGTAATCATCGAATCAATACGTGTATCAATGAACAAAAGCAATTTACAGTACATTTATTGGCTTAAAACATAATAAAGTAAACGTAATTCTGTACCTTGGAAGTATCCACAAATGATGTAATTATCAAATCACGTTCTCATATTTCCAAATAAAATAAAAATATATTATATATGCTAAGTCAGCTACAGTCAAACCTCGTTAAAACGAAGTGGTCGGTGCTATTAGTAAAAAATTCGATTATCGAGGTTTATTTAGTAAACTCGGTTTTACTATAACTGTTTCTGGACCCAACTTCGGTTTTACGGGATTTGGGTTAACTGCAGTTGTAACTATAGAAACACCAAACAATATAAGTATCAAATATGCGAACGTCACGTTAAAGTATAAGTTTTAAAAATCTGAAGGCTTTAATTAGTTATATTCACAATAAGTTAGAACGCTTTGAAGATAGTAAAATGCCAAAATACAGTATGCAAATAGGTTTTTATGGGATCCAATCACAATAGTTTGATGAATTCACCAAATATAAGAATTTGGTTCACCAACAAAAACTGAAAGGCATGTTCAATAAGTATGATATTAAAATCCATCTTAACATGAATAATGAACTATAGGAGGCCAGGTTGCAGCTTTTTGGTCAAGTAATCAAGAAGTCATACCTACAGAAGAAAATTTGTCTATACTAATACGTAGTTAATGACGATCACGTGTACGAGATTAAATTTAATTGGTATCGGTATTACCATTACTGTTACATTGGTATCGGTATTACCATTACCGTTACGTTAGCGATAGCCATTTACATGTGCGTATTCTATTTGTGGTACACATGTACATGTACATGTACATGCGTTTGATATATACATGTATAAATTACGATTACGTATCGGTATATGTATGAATATGATAAAGTATTCATCATTTGTACGCCACTCGACATAAAGAATTCATTTAAAAATTTAATTATAAATTAAGTTAAAAAAAATGACAGCAAATACCACTTCTAAAAGAGACTTGTCGAAAGAATTACTTGAAATCTATAAAAAAGGATGTGATAGCTACGAAGATGACCGAGTGATAGAAATAGAGGTAAACGAATGGCTCAAAACACACAGTGTACCATCAGCACAAATCTTCAAGATGATATTTGAGCGAAGTAACGATGCAACAGACTACAAAACTCTATTAGCATTTATGTATTGTCTGGGAATAGGAACTGAAATGAGTAAAGTTGAGATGTTTCGATATTATTTGCTTGCTGCAGAACAAGGGGATCCGGTTGCTGCAAATCAAATAGGATGGTGTTTTTTTAAGGGAGTGGGAACACGCAAGAATCCAGGAAAGGCTTTTTATTGGTTTCAACGTTCGGCTGATGGTGGTTATGCGCTAGGATTTGGATGGGTGGGACAATGTTATAAGGAAGGTATCGGTGTAAAAGCTGACAATGATAAAGCGTTTAGTTATTTTATGAAATCGGCAGACGCAAGTCCTGGGTCACAATTTAATATTGGAAATTGTTATATGCATGGACATGGAGTGACTCAAGATTTAAACAAAGCCGTTTATTGGTATAAAAAAAGTGCGGAAAAAGATCAAAGTTCTGATGGACTATTCAATCTTGCTTATTGTTATCAATACGGATACGGGGTAAAAAAAGATGAAGGAGAAGCATTCAGAATATACCAAAAACTAGCAAATATAGAAAACACCGACGCCCAAGTTCAACTTGCGTTTCTATACAGAGAAGGACGTGGTGTTGAAAAAGATGAAAAAAAAGCATTTTACTGGTACAAAAATGCTTTCGATCTTGGAAATCCAAACGCGGCAAATGAACTTGGATACTGCTATCAACTAGGAATCGGAACACGACCAGATAACTATAAATCATTTCTTTGTTATCGAAGATCTGCCGATGTGAGTTATCAAGTGGGAAAATATAATTATGCGTATTCTTTTCAGGATGGGTTTAGTGGGTCGGTGGATAAACATCAGGCAATATATTGGTATCAGCGGGCATTTGATTCTGGATATATGGAGTATTCAAAGAAGCAATTAAATTGTATCTTTTTGAAGAATAGTTGATAGATTGTTACTTTCAGTATTTTAATATTTCTACAGGCTGAAGGTCAATACAAATGAATTTTTTTTTAGTATTATGGTTCTTGAATCTTGATTATTGTTGAAGGTTCTTGATTTCACTTATTTCATCTATATTATCATATACTGTATGTTATTAAACTTTCTTAAATCGACGGCTCGGTATAGAATTCTAATTTTGACTAAGAGAGGTTTTCGATTTAAGGAGGATTTTTTCTATATACTATACTGTATACCTTTTTCGATATAAAGAGTCTTAAGGAGGATTCGACTTAGAGAGGTCTTCTTCAACTTTACTGATTGGAATCATTTATGAATTATCCTTTGTTTCTTCATCTGGTTGAAAAACTTTCAAAACTATATTTCCAACTTTACTCAAGAATACAGATTTTTTCTGAGCACAGATTGTAAGATAATGTGTATGATGATAATGAGTAGTTGTCATTTGCGTTTGATTGTAATTGCTGTTTAATTGTAGTTTGTAATTAATAGTTGCTTGTTTGTCTTTTTGTTGTTAATAGTTGACGTGTCATTTAATTATTGTTGTTTGCCACTTATCGTTATTATTCTTAGTGTACCTATTAGGGAAGTGGCTTTTATCACCTGATTTTTAAGGGAGGAGAGTCAACGATGATTATATAAGCAATATAAATAATATTATATAATATATCAGGTGGGGTGAGCCTTATATGGTCCAGGAACTCTTAAATCGACAATATGTTTCATGTTAAAAATTCTATCAACTTGACTAAGAAAATTTAACCGGTAATATTATCAAGAAAGTTCTTTTCTATAACGATCACAGATTATGTCTCTTGTAGTGAATTAATTAAAGGATCAACGATTGCATATAGTTACACATATATATTTCTTAATATGTAAATCTTCAACTAATATATTGGATCAGATTAATGAAAAGTTCATTACTTTATGTAAAAGATTTTTTAAAAAATATTGTAGTTGTAATGATAATAGTTAAATAACAAAAAGTAAAAAATTAGATATTTAATTTCAATTAATACAGTAAATAGATTAATAGCTAAAATTAAAATATTTTAATAAAGATAAAAATTTTGTTTTTTGTTATTTTATCTTTAGCAAGTCGAATGAAAAATTTGTTGGTCTTTTAGTTGGGTATAGTTCTTTTTAACTTCTATATCCAAAATAACTTGATTATTAATTTCTTCATGAATTTTTAGTAATAGTTCATCTAATAATTCTTCTTCTTTAAATTTAAATTCATCTTCATCAATATTTTTGATGTTTTCAAATTTAATTTGCCACTTGAACTGAATCCATTCTTTTCACGCTGTGAATTTTCAAGTTCGTCCTGACTTTCTACTGTAATTAATTTTGTAATGCTGACTATCGGTAAGAATATAGCTTGAGCAATTTTTTCATTTGGTTGTATTTGATATATATTAATGAAATTGTTGTATAATAGAATTTCAACATTTCCAGTATAACTGGCATCAAGTGTTCCAGCTTTGACTTCTATATCTTTCATTGTTAATGATGATCTGGATTTAAGTTGACAAAAAATTCCTTTTGGTATTTCCATTGCAATTTGTATATTGATAAATATTGCTTGATATGATAAGATATTGATTGTATTTTCTCCAGGGTATCTCATATCAAAGCCAGCATCATTTTTATGTGCTTTTTCTGGTATTTTACCTTTATCATTGTTGTTAAATATTTTAATTTCAATACCATCTTCTGGAATAATTAATTTATTTTGTTCATTTTTAGTTATTTGATTTCTTCGTTGTAAATATGAGACAGGTATTTTTATCTTTTCGCTTTGGTGTTCAAATATTAAGATCTTTTTCTTCCAGTCCAAAATATTATCATTATTATGAGCCCAGTCATTTCCAAGTAAAAGATCATAATCACCTTTTTCAGTTACGAGTGCATTAATTTTGAGATTTTTGTTGTCCAAAGCAATTGGTGAGTCGATTACTTCTCCAAGTGATCATTCTTTTACTCCATTTATTCCAACTAAATTAATATTACTCAGTCATTGTATTTTTCAATTGATTTTCTTCAAAAAGTCATTTGATATAATATTGCTTACGGTTCCGTTATCAATAATAATTATTGCTTTGTGATTTTTAATTTTTCTAATACAATACATTGCGTCAATAGGTTTTTGTTTTGATCTTTTATTTTCTTGTTCGTTACTAATTAATAGTTGTTTAAGTGATTCAATTAAAGATTTTGGTGGAAGTGGTGCACGTTCATCTTTTCAAAGTGTATCTAAGAGTTTAAATGCTGGTTGATGCTAAAATAAGTATTTTGTCATTGATTATTATTATTATTTTGCTGATGATTATTATTATTATTTTTGATTTTGATATTAGTTGTTGTTATTATTTGAAATGCTGCAGTGTAATCCTGCTTAAATTGTTAACTAATCTAAGATACAAGGTAAATTAATAACTAG